ATGAAGGACTATGCCTTGGCCAAGGGTGGGAGCACTAACACCGGGGTGCAGGTTTATGAGCTCTCAATGCATCTCAATACAACATGTACAACTCGTGGGCAACTAGTACGACAATGTCAAAGTTGCCTAACATATAAATGTAGTCAAACCATAACTCCATCAATCCGACTAATACTATAAACTCACCTAAACTTACCTGGGTGTCCTTTGTTCACCTTCGCACTTCAAGGCATTCACAATAATTACGTGCAGGTAACACACATGGACATACCAGAATGTAAATCTAAAATTCAACCATATCATAATATTTCCAAATATGCAAACATATATACAAATGGCATAATATGCATAAGTTGTAACACCTAACTCCCGAACTATTTATTTCGGGAATAATTATCGGGAACAAGTCCAACTAAATATTAGTTTAATTAACCAACATTATTTACGATTCTTTACTTCACTCTCTCAATGCCTCACAAATTGATTTGTGACCAACATTTAACCACCAAAACATAAGGTTAAATCTCACCTTTCCACCAACTTCCTTCACATTGCTCAATTTCCTAAATAAGGCTTTTGTCTCAAATATATTATGGCTGCATCTAACGTCTTGTTAGACTACCTACGTACCCTAAACAGGGATCAAGCCATTCGTAGTTCATATTAGTACGTCAAGCATTCACATTAATTATATGAAGGTAATATACCTAAATCAATTTAAAAGTGTCGATAGAACTCTCAATAATATGTACGATAAAAAGGAAAAGATCCACTCACCTGGAGTTCACGCTATGATTCTCTAGCGCACGCATCGAGGCGTCCTGAATGATTGGCGCCTGTGACCAATTATCGAATCACATCTCAGAACTCTTACCAATAGAATACGTAATTCACATAAAACACAACCTCAAGGGCATTCTAAAATAGTTCGAGACCCATTGACCATAAGTCAACAGTCGATCAAAGATCAACGGTAGGGTCTACAACCCTGTATAACTCGATCTGGAAGATCCGCATATCAGATTTCCAATCCGCAACTCCTAAAGATCCACAATATGTTTCTAGAATAACATATTAAAATTTCATTATGATCTAACGGTCGAATCTCCGCTAATTGCCCAAAACCAAGTGGCGGTTAACATTTATTTTACTAACTTACAAATCTAATTCAGGAAGAACCGTACGTCGGATTCCTGATCCATAAATTCCTATGATTTTTAAATATGACGTATTATAATGCATCCAAGTTTGGTGACGATTCAACGGTCGGATCGTCGATTCACATTTTTATCAAGTAACGTATCGTAACGACTTTAGGTTCCAACAATTAACCTACGTCATTCAAATAACAAAACTGAATTTAAGACATTCAACATAGCCTAAAAATAGCATTGGCGGCCCACTGGCCACGCGCCGCCGTGGGCGGCGGTCGGCCGCCCCGACTTGCCAGAAAATCCAACTATTTCCAAAAATTATCAAACTTCATAGAAATGAAGATCTCAGTGAGTGGAGCAACTTTCATACCTTCCACGAAGTCCAAAAGTGGACGGAAGATGGTCAATTTTTTCCACAAAGCCGGCGGGTGCCTAAACTTCCCGACGTCGATTCGTCGTCTACGGTGGTCCAACGAGGTCAAGGTTGGTTGGGTTTTTCTCCTAGGATGATGGGCTACAAAGCCCAAGTGGTGGCATCAGCCATCGCTTTCGTGGCCTCAAACCACCACACACCGTGGTTAATCAAGGTGGTTCTTGGGTAGGTTTTGTAGAGGGGAATGAGAGCTTCAAGATGGTGGTGGTGGCGTTGAAAAAATCCATTGGAGTTGGCCGGAATCGGCCTTGGAAGATGGGTGGTCGTGGAGGTGTACAGACGGAAACCCACGGGAAAAGCTCCCAGCTTCCCCCCCCCTCTTTTTTTTTTTTTCCTTCTTCTTCTTCTTTCTGATTGGCTAAAGGCTTTCCTCCCCTCTTCTAATTGGTTCCTTGTCCCTTTAATTTAATTGGTCCACTATTCCCACATGGTGGGAGTTCAAAATTATTTAGTTAACAAGTAACCAATTTCAATGCCCGTAACTAACTCTTTATAATCCGAACTCGCAAAAGGTTTCGCCTATGCGTTCGTACCAACGAGTACTACAAGGACATACTAAAAGAATAAGTCCCACATGTTTATAACCGATGGTCAACTAAGGTCAACCCTCTCGCCTTTAAGGGCATTTTCGTAAAATCATGCTTTTAAAATTTATAAAATTGTAAAATTAGGGACGGGTTGTCACACAATGAATTGTAATCAAATTATTTAAACCATTGGCTGGCTCCTATTTTAATCATCTTCAATCGTTAATGGGATTTCTCTCAAAAATTGGTGGACTCCAAAGTTATCCTTTTCAAGGAATTACCCTTGATAGATTTGTCACATCCCGGCCCGGGGCGGATCACTTCCCGAGCACGCTCCACCACCGTAGCACGATATTGTCCGCTTTGGGCTTATCATTCCCTCACGGTTTTGTTTTTGGGAACTCACGAGCAACTTCCCAGTGGGTCACCCATCATGGGATTGCTCTAGCGCACTACTCGCTTAACTTCGGAGTTCCTACGGAACCCGAAGCCAGTGAGCTCCCAAAAGGCCTCGTGCTAGGTAGGGATGAGAATATACATTTAAGGATCACTCCCCTGGGCGATGTGGGATGTCACAAGATTAAACAATGTTGTGTGGACAACAATAAGAATTTATTTTAATGAAAATATATCCGTCAAGTATCTTGTAAACAATAGTAGTTAACTTCATAGTTCGGTGGAAGGAGGAGCCAATGTAACAATATGTAACTTCAAGGTAGTAAAGTATCCATATTTAAAAGAAGTGTAATTTTGGATGCGGTCCCTATTTATCAACGTTCTTTGATTGAAACCTTGTTGATTTTTGATTGAAGTCCCTGAAATTAATGAAATAATGCATTTCTAAGTAGGTTATTATAAGTTTTTAACTAAAATTTGATATTTGTAGTTATTTATATTAATAAGATTTTAAATAAAATCCATAATGTGACATCCCACATCGCCCAGGGGAGTGGATCCTGTAAGCTTTATATGTATATTCTCATCTCTACCTAGCACGAGGCATTTTGAGAGCTCATTGGCTTCGGAGTTCATCGAAACTCCAAAGTTAAGCAAGTTCACGCGAGAGCAATCCCATGATGGGTGACCCACTGGAAAGTTCTCGTGTGAGTTCCCAGAAACAAAACTGTGAGGGCGTGGTCGGGGCCCAAAGCGGACAATATCGTGCTACGGTGGAGTCGAGCCCAGGATGTGATGGGGACCCGGGCTGAGATGTGACACATAATTTGTTGAAAATATTAAAAGAAATTATACTTAAATAAAACCCATGATTTGTCATTACTTATATTAATGACATTTTACATACAAAAAATTGGTAATTTTTTATACGATGCATTTTACATATAAAAAGTTGATGCATTTTATACAAAAAAGGGTGATACGTTTTATATAATGGGTACATTTCATATAAAAAAAAAAAAAACAATGGGTACATTTTACACAAAAGAGGTGTTACTTACAAAAAAAATGGGTACATTTTTCATATAACAAAGTGGTGCATTTTTAAAAATAAATGGGTACATTATTAATAAATTATGGGAACAAATAAGAGGTCAAAAAAATATGAGTACAAATAAAAGTTTGAAAAATGTGGACACAAAAAGAAATTAACATATGGGTACAAACTAAAACTGAATGGAAAATTGGCACAATTTAAAAAAAAAAAAAAAGGTTGCAAATTAAAATCGGTACAAACTAATATATATATATATATATATATATGAGGCAAAATTTAGCCATAAATATAAATATATCAAATGTAACGTTTCTAAACACTAAATGAATAATGTAGAAATAAAATTTAATTATCTTGATATGTAAAATATTTTATTATTGAAATAATTAATGATGTTTATTAAAACCAAGAGACATTGATAAACCAAGAGACATTGATTAAAAATTGAAAATAAATAAGGTTTCAATCAATGAAGTTGAAAAAAAAGGGATGGGAACCTAATTTTCATTTTGGTTCCTGTCCCTAATCAACCTAATTGTTAGACTGAAACCTTGTTAGTTTAAATATTTTGATTGCGGTCCGTAACATCATTTAAGAGATTTAACCCATGCATTTATGCTTTTAATGTCCCACAAATCATGAAATTTAAAAAAAATTCAAATAATATTTTAAAAAAATAATAAATACTTAAAAATAAATATTAGAGTAATATTGTTCTTCACAAAATTATAGCAAGAAATAATTTACCCACATAATTACTATCATATTTTACAAAATAACTATTGATACATTTTAAAACATAAAATAAATACATATAATTAGCATGGGTACATTTAGCAAAATTTAAAATAGGTACAAATCAATTAAAAATATATGAGTACAAATACAAATAAATTTTTTTAAAATATGGGCACAAAAAGAAATTAATATATGGGTACAAATTAAAACAGAAAAGAAAATTGGTACAAATAGAAAAAGGGTTGCAAATTAAAAATGAGTACAAACTAAAAATAAAAATATATGATAAAAAATTTATCCATAAATATAAATATACTAAATGTAACATTTTTAACACTAAATGAATATATTTAGAAATAAAAAATATTTTATTATTAAAATAATTAATGACATTTATTAATACATAAGGACCTTAATAAAAATTGACAAAGAATAAAATTTTAATCAATGAATTAGCAAAAAGAGAAATGGGAACCTAATTTCTCCTTGAAAGAAAGGGACCACACTATTACATGCCCAATTAGAAGGGTGCAATATAATTACCTTTGTGTCCTAAAATTAATGGTGTTTAAGCCTTCGCTTTAAGTTAGTTGATTCATATATATAGGATTTTTTTTTTTTTTCATCAAAGTACAAACTTTTATTAGATTCAAATTGACATATTTACATCAGTAGCCAAAGTGTTAAACAACCACTAGCTTAAAATAGTTTCATTCATAAGTGCCCCCCTCCCATAAGGCTAAAGAGGCCACTAGATTTGCTGCCGCATTACAAATACAAGGAATTAAGTACCTTAAGTTTGATTCCTATAATAATATTGCTACAATAATGTGAATTTGATAAAAGTGAATTCTATCCATTAACATGCACTAGTTTTAGAATTATGGATCTATACGAGGTCATATGGTTCTCGCAGAAAAATTCACCAACAGATGAAAAAACCTTAACAGCTTCAAACGCTTTTATTCTGTTGAATGAAAACCTCAATCTTACTACTACAAGGCAAGGCCCGTTACTTGCACGAACATAATCTTTCGGAACCAGCGAGCAGCATCCAACCACCAACCTGAAAGCAGCCAAAAGTTTTCCCCTTGAAGTGCCATTAATAAGCAATAAATGATGCACGGTCACTTCTTAGTCCGCTCTGGATTGCCCTGATCGAGAAGACAAGATGATGCCAACAATGAGGCCGTAGAGGGCCAGTGCTTCAGCAAATATGAGAATGAGGATCATCCCAACAAAGAGTTTCGGCTGCTGTGCATTAGCTCTGCAAAACAAGCTCGGTTACTCTGGAGGTGCTTCACTAATTATAATTAGGTTGAGACTAAATCTCAAATCACATAGAAACATTTAAGGAAAGATTAGGGGATATCTATGAAGCACAACAACCAAACAAAACTTTAGTTGTTCTGCACTTCTGCTCTCAAGTGACGAAAACTAGCTTCACAGAGCCATGAAAACTTTACGAGCCATCTTTTCATGTTTACTGCTATTGACCCACGCTGCCAAATTATAGTAAAACACTATACCAGTTGTCTACCAAATTATACTAGTTACAAACTCCGCCACTGTTACTACTTTCTGAGACGCGTGACAGATACACATGAGACATTAGAATCATATTCAGGGCACTACAGATTACAGTTATACCAAAACACCATACTAGTTGCCAAAGACAACTTTAATATTAAATCTCAACTGATTCCAAGCCCTAATAAGAATCAATCTCAATAGTTGTTCTTGAGAATGATATTTTCATCTTACATGTCAAACATACATTGACATTTGGACCTATATTCAGAGAAATATGTTTTACTAGAGTTAAGATACTATTCTGACCTTGGACTTTATAACTTTTCACATTGCCACAAACATTAAATTTATCAGCCCATGAATAGTTTACAATGTTTTCACTATCCATTTCCAGACCAAGATTTATCATTGATTTTAGTTCTAATCTGTCACGGCTTTAAGTTACTATCCTTGTATTGGACTTCCAACTTTCCAAATTAAAATGAACTCTGGGGTTTAATATCCTTCCTTGGATTTCCAGTTTACAATGACAATACTAATGATAATCCTCTCTCAGACCAATCTCTTTATCTTTAAATTTAGTCTTGGGTGAAAATCTGCTTTGCATATTAATTCTGGAATTATCAATAGGTTAAGTAATTCGGTTCATAGTGACAGTCAGTACAAAAAGCTGACCAACGAACTCTATAACCCAGAAGTTGATGTAAGCAACATATATAAGAAAGGGAAACAAGAAATACCACCATTGCTATTTGTGCAGTTAGATCAACTTTGTTCACTACTGAAAAGCATGTTTATAGGATAAATGGCCACCCTAATTATTATCTGCCTTTGACAAAAGGACAGTACTAATCGAAAAGAAACAGAAAAAGGGGTAATAATTTGTACAGGATCTACTTCAATAATACTTATTTTTAGCGTCTAGCTATAGCATACAAAAAAAAATAAAAAAAAAAAAACACCAGCAAGCAACAAGAAACAATTATGTATATGCATATGCACTTAAATGGCGGAACTTATACCTTACACCAGCGTCGCCAACAATACCAATTGCCATTCCAGCAGAGAGTCCAGCGAGACCGCAAGCAAGACCAGAAGAGAGATGTGCATAACCATCAAAGAGGTAGTATGACTTGGCCTTTGGGTTAATCCCAGTACTGATGATAACAGCAATAATAAGGCCATAAATACCCAAAACTCCAGCCATAACGACCGGAACAATGGATTTCATCACCAGCTCAGGCCTCATCACCCCCATGGATGCCACACCAACACCACTCTTTGCTGTGCCATAGGCAGCTCCCATACCTTGAAAAACAAATCCCCAACGAAGCCGCCGTTATATCAAGCACACTAAACCTATATTTGGGATTCTAAAATTTTGGGCAATACATGAACATATGATGTATAAACCAAGCGAAACAGATCAATCAGCCTCTTTTGAGTAATGGGTTTTGAGATCCATGTTAACAAACTCCACAAAGCATATCATCTGACCATTAAATGAATAATAATAGTCAAATTTAGCTCCTTTCTAGCAAAAGATTTGTACTTTCAGGGTCCCAAATGATAATTAACCAAAAATTTAAGCAAGAAAATCCAAGTTATTCAGTTAATTCCTTGATATTATAAAAACCAAGTTCAATTGACAGCCGAATGGAGCAGATGATCAAATCCAAACTAGATCTAAACTTTGTCGGGAGCCAAAGACATTGCAAAGAGAAAAACACAGAGAAAAAGCGAGATTGAATTTAGAGTTTGGTTACATGAGAAAACGAGGGCAGCAGCAGCGCCGAGGAAGCCGAAGAACGGCGCCGTTTCATCGCCACTGAATGTTGAAGACATTATGGAGCGTGGATCTGGGACGACGTCGTCGCGATCTTAGAAGAAGTTTGGGGTCTCTCTCTCTCTCTCTCTCTCTCTCCGCGTTCTTCTTCAGTGGTGGTTGGTGTGTCTCGTGCTCAACCAAGCGAACTGCCTTACAATTTGTAATCTCCCTCACTAGTTGCAAGCTGCAAGAAACGGGTCTACCCGAATCCGACTTGTTTGTTTTCTTACCCAACCATATTATCTACTTTATACGAAAGGGTTGAGCTTAGTCTTACAAATCACAATAAGCTAACAATAATATAGTTTGAATTCGTTTTTATATGCGAATTAAACCTAAAACCTCTTATTTATCAGTAAAAATAAATACTACTATACCGTAGTACTAGTATTTATACAAAATCCAATATTTAGACCCTGTTTTATCTTGTACTTGAGCATCTTTTGGAACCAAGGACACGAACAAAACATAGTTTTGGGTACCGCTTGATTGAAATTAGACGACCCAAACTAGTTATATCTTGTATGGTATAAGACATGGAGCAACACAAACAATGTGGACAATTATATAACAATTGAACATCAGCGCCATATTAACAACACTGTTTACACTAAAAATATTATTGGCCAAATAAGATGATTCACATAGGAAATGGAGTTTGGGCCTTTAATTTACTTTAAATGAACAGTACAATCCAAATTATTATTTTATTTTAACAAATAATATTAATATTCGTTTACGCTAAGGAAAGGGACGGGCTAAGAGTCATAATGGGCTAGCAATAATGTGATTCAAATTCACTTATGATGAGAATTGAACTTAAAACCTCTCACTTACAAACGAAAAAGAATATTATTAGACTATAGTATTAAATGGCCGTCCGGATTACTTTTGACTAATCAAAGATATCAAGGACCATTTTTCACTCTCGAAGTTGGTAGCATTGAATGTAAAGAACTTTGGTGTTTTTGGAGGTAAAGTGATCATAAATTTAAGCAAAATCACTGTCTTGGTTAGGCTAATCTAGATTCACAGTCCATATATTTTGGATTACTTTCTATTGGTGATTACTTTCTAAAAAGTAATCCTACGTCGGCTTCAAATGAAGACATAAGAAGCATTGAAGAAGGAAGTAAAAGGTCGATAGATACAAGTTAAATGCGCAAAGCAAAGGACACAGGAATCATTCAATGAAACAAACTACAAGTTTCAAACCAAAGTTCTCTGACTTCACTTGTTTCATTCCTTCTTCCTTGCCAAAAGACCACTTGAAACCAAGACTTTAGAACTCTAGGAATCCTTTCATTTAGACTCTTAAGACCAATTAAAATTTGCTCTACAACCATATCTTTGTGTAGCATCGATTTACAGGCCATTAGATAAGTTTGTCTTTTTGGATGAAACCCTTTACAAGAAAGCAACTTTTCCAATCTGATGGTCTTGAATTCAATCCGATAAGAGTTTTATATATTTTTTTAAGTTCATTTGTGTATTTACTTTACTTATCTTGTGATATTCGGTATTTCAATATCAGTTTCAGTTCTGTACTTGTTACTTATTGTCTTTACCTTTTGCTGTGAATGATTGAAGTAGTGTGTTTGATTATGTCCAACCCCATCTTTGTAGTTTCTAGTATAATATCGAAAAACAATTAAAGTCCTTAACATACAAGACATTAAAAAGAGCCAAAATTGAACCAAGCTTTGACACAATCATTTGATAAGGGAGTTTTATTTCCTTGTGGCACAAGTATCACAAATACATTTATGTATCCTTTCTGTTGACAAAAATCAACGGTAACACGCCTTACAAACAACAAATCAAAGGATTCACTATGCTTCTTCGAAGGTCAAGTGGTGAAGCCTACAAACAATGAGAATCAAACCACTTAGACCGCCAATGTGTCGACTGAACATCATATTCTCAAGTGACATATTATCATGAAATTGTACAAGAATATGTACATGTCTTGGGGATCAGTTCTTTCCAAATATTCATTTTCTTTCCTTCATTTCCCAATCTTATGGTTATTATTATCAACAATGGATTCTGCTATTGTCTCCAAGTCTTCCAGATCATGCTTCAACGTTTCCACCTATTATTTTAAAATAATAGAGTTATAAGTCAGTCAAATGCTGCAATAGATGCTAAAAAAAACCCCATAAAAAGAAAGGAAAAAAAAAAATGAAGCATATAAAATGTAAATAAAATATACGAAGAAATTAAGATGGGGGATGAATTGCCATTGCAAGACCTTGTGAATGAAATCTTCAGCTAGTTTAGCATCTTTAGCAGCCACTTTGAAAACATGTTCTGCCAGTAAAACCTTTTCCTTTAGTTTGGTATTATCAGGGAGTTCGTCGGCAACGTCCTCGGACACCTTCTCCGCCACAGTTGCCACCCTTTCTACAACCTCGACTACTTTCTCTACCTCTTCCACAACCATTTCTGCCTCTCCTGTACAAAACAAACTTATTTTCGATTTGTATTATTTATCGATTCTATGTACATGACCGGTTCAAACGAAAAAGATTTTCCGTACCTTCAATCCTTTTGAGTTTTCCCCAATTCTGAATCCAAAAAGGAAGGATTAGTGCCAATATGGATCCCAAAATCCATTTTACCCTGCATGTATTGGATACTAAATTAGAAGCGTACTTTAGTATCCATTGGTTTGTCAGCATGTTAAAATATTGGTTTATACTTTATAGCATGTATACTTTTCCAAACAAAGAAAAAATAGATATAGCTAGAGAGATAGAATCATAGAAACTTTGATCTGGAGACTAAAAAAACAGTTCGATTTCTAATTTGAAGAACAATTAATGCAGGAAAAGACGAGAAATCATGCAGGATCAGACGCGAATTGAGTGAGCTGGTTCTATTTGGTCTTCTTTGGAAGATCTATGGACAAAATTTTACATGTTTGAGAATCAGTTCATACCTTTGACCGATGCCGAGCCTGGTAGGAGTTGCTGCTGGTTGTAATTGTTGAGCCTTTTCCTTTCCACTGTTTACCCTATAACATATAAGTGTAGAATTATCAAGCAGAAAAATTATTCATTTTTCTATCATCTGGAAGAGAAAACTAATGTTTAACGGAGGAGATCAACTATTACATAATTTGAGACCATTAATCAAAGACTAATCCTTACATTTTTGTATCGAGTTTTGTCCATGGTTTGCTGTTGACACTTAAATACCGTAAGCCTTGCTGTATCGGATAACCCTGGTCAACCTTAGAAACTGCTGTAGCTGGGAACGGTCCAGGCGATGCATTGCCAATCGAAGATCTATTGCGACGAAGTAGTTCAAGAATGTTTCTCAATTTGTTGAAACCCCAGAACTCATTCCTAGGCATATTGATGAATTTCCACCCTAATTGTCACCTGCCTGAGATGTTAAGTAATGATCTCTGAATATGTTCAACGATGATCGATGGCTCAAAGTCGACCATATTATAAGTTTATTTATATGGATAGGTTTTGAAGGGTTCTGCCTGACTTGTTCATGCCATTTACGTGTGGAGATGTTTGCAGGAAAAACACTTGAATATTTATGTACAAGCAAGCCAAGGGATGACGTGGACGTTGATTACTTGGTCACTTCAAAGTTCAAGCAAGGTAGCTTGCAAAGGAAACAGTTTAAGCACACGTTACTTGCAAGTAAAAAACACCATTCTTATTCAATGCTTAGTAGATACGGACTTGACATACACATTCCATCACTCAATCCCTCAAGATGGAACTCTCTCTCGCGTTTCGGCGAAATCTTGTTGGAGCCCAGTCAGAATTTAAGCAATGTAACGATATAAAAGTATAACAACAACAACTTCAATATAATAGTCAAAACTAAAGTTATAGCAACTTTATTAATGATATAACAATATAAGTATGATACAACAACTAACGGATTATAATATTCGATATATAGTATCAGATGCTTATGATTAATTCAAATCAACTTCTAAGACCATAAATATGCATACATACAAATCTTATAACAGTATATGAAAGTGAGATCGGAACTAACAATAAGAAAAAGAAGTGAGTTTCCAAAACTGACAATATGAATAGATAGAAGCTTGCGGATTGTTGCAATGTCCTCTATAGACAGAATTTCGCATCTACTCGGATGCTTGTACTTCGTTAGGCCTTGTCCACAAGGATTACTCTTATCTAATCCAAGTCCTAACACCAGGAACTTGAATGTGGCGAACGTACAAGAGTTTTTCTCAAGAAAAATATAATAGCATGATATAGGAAAGACAGGGTCTTTTGTTGATGTACTTTGTGCTTGGAGAAGGTTGCGTTTACAAAGACTTGAAACACCTTTCTTGAACAGCCGTTGCGACTGTCAAAAACAGTTATATGCTTTGTGGTAAAGATGAAATTCCTCAACGTCCAATTCAAAATTAAAATTGAATTGATGTTTATGAGGTGCATTGATTAAAAAACCAATGGCTTTTGTTTCAAGTCACCGGAGCCCAAAAGGCCCAAGGCTCAAGGCCCAACCCTCAACCTTCGTTATGTGAGGAAAAGCCGAGCTTATTTTTCATTCAAAACTCCTACAAATCTGTTGTTCGACAACCGTCGTTAGGCCAACCTCTGCCCTTTTCTCTGTCTCGGCGAGCACTTTTGTTTGTTGGCAGTGATTATATTTATCTTCATATAAGTGAGAAGTTTTAAGTTTAAATTAAATAAATTACAAGTTCCTAACCAATTGTACTAAAAAATAAAAAATAAAAAAAAAATGTAACAAAAGAGAATGTAGACCCCACTGAACAAAAGAGGGTATAGACCCTACTATGCATGCTAAACTATTAAAAAGGGAGCATTGACCCAATAATCAACTTTATCTATATAAATCAACCCATAAATATATGGGTTATACATGCTAAAATATTAGAAAGGGAATATTGACCCAATAATCAATTTCATCTATCCAAATCAACCTATAAATATATGTGTTAGGATTTGGGGCACACGTTTTTTACTCACATTTTTATGGAGCTCACTATTTTAATGATCCAAATATCTATATTTTAATCATTACCTCAAAGATCTTGTCTACCAAAAATCACGCAAATTTGAAACCATATTCATCCATTTCCTCAACTACAAATGAATGTATGAATGGTTTTGGATCATGTCTACCACAAATGAATGTCATAGTTCTGATTTTCACGAGCCAAGGTTGGCCCAAAATTCCATTATGAAGGGTTGGGTCCATGACGATCATAAATGTCTGCGAGGAGACAATTAGAGGGGTGAGTATGTCAAGCACAATCATGCCAATGGCAATCAAGGTGAAACCGTTGAATCCGGTTAAGACATCTGCACTGTGTTTGATAGTACTTTCCATGCCCATCCCCTTAATCATTAACAGTTGGGTATGTTCACTGTCATGCCGTTCTCAACCATCATCCTATCAACCATGGCATGGGCTAGTTGAACCAAAATCATCATGGCATTGTCGTGGAGAAATTTTATTCCCTCGATGTCTTGCTCAATGAAGCCAATGATTGGCTAGGTGCCATGTTCGTAACTTAAATCTAGGAAAGAGATCTTGTCTGTTCGATCCTCATCTTCTTGGAATTGTGGCTGGCCACCAAGTGTTTAGACTCAACGAAGATGCTATTGATCCGAATCACCTTTGGAGGGGGTTCAGTGTTAGTTTTTCGCATCTCACATGGGATGTGATGCTAACTTGTCTAAGTACTTGTAGCACCTATCTTCCTTCATTAGCCTCTCAATGTATTCTTTCTATTTTATGCAACTGTTAGTTATGTGGCCTGGACCATGATGGAATGTGCAATACTTTGTTTGATTCAACTTGGCGGTGTCTCCCTTCATGGTTGATGGCAGCTTGAACCAAGATTCATTTTTCAAGTCACAAAGAACCTGGGTGGTGGCAACTTGGTGACTGACTTTGGCATTGGTCCTTCTTTTACTAGGCAACTGTCCTTGAATTTGTGTTGACTTTGTATTTTAGGTAGTATTCTTAAAAGATATTAATCCCGTGTAATTAGTTTTTTTTTTTTTTTCCTATTTACGTTAGGATTGTACACCTTATATATGTACTCTTATTGAGAAGAATACAATTATTATTCAAAGCATTCTCTTCTTCATATCAAAGCTTGGGTTAGAAAATAAAAAGTCAATAGTTTGTTCCCTGACTTGTTCATGTTGGGTTGCTTCTCATCTATCTTCTTCTAAACTGCATCTGAGTCATTTTGAGATTGCTCGGAAGCTTTTTGGGCTCGTTTAGCTTCATCCCATGGTGCATGCTTTTTAGTCAAAATATAAGAGTTTCCCAAGATAAAATCTTAACCCATGATCAACTCTCCAGACAAAGGGTGGTCGGCTAAAGTATTTTTTCTGAATGCTGCCTTGGTTATTATATCGTCACATTCGCCAATATTGGCCTTCTTCGCCTTGAGCCTCCTAACATAGTTATGGATTGTCTCCTTTGAGTCCTTGTTAAAGTTGAAAAGGTGGTCTTATTTCTTTTTGATTGAGCGGTGGGACAAATATTCCTTAGGGAAAACCAAGAAAAGTTTGTTGAAGTTTTGGATTGATCATGGCGCCAAGGTGTGCAACCAGTTTTTTTCGCTCTCCTTGCAGAGTTGTAGCAAAAATCTTGCATATGAGAGCATCATTGTTCTTCTAAAGGAACATAGCACTGCAATAACGCTTGAGATGTCTTTCCAAATCCTCGTCTCTTTCAAATAGAGTAAAGTGAAGCATAGTGAACTTACGAGGAAGATCTGTTCGCTCAATCTCATCAGTGAATGGTGACCTGCACATGTTAGTCACATCTCCTTAGAGTGCTTCATCTATAGTCTCAAGGTTGGAGTGCACTACCACGCTTCGAACCTGGAGTCGGTGGATAAGTATGACCCCATGCCTGGCGTGCAAATAAAAGGGAAAAAAAAAAAAAAAAACTTCTCTTATAAAAATGACTCCAAAAAACTTTACAGGGTGTACAAAAAGAATAAAAACTTTTAAATCTCTCGCCTAACACAACTCCAGCTCATCTAGCACGGTCTTGCCAAATAACTCATCTGAAAAGTAAAAGGGTGAGGGATGAGCAACAACCACCGTAGCTCAATGAGTAGAATATGTAATATGCCAGTCAAGCGTGTAGTTTTACACAGTCTAGAAAATATGTGTAATATGTCAAATCATTATACATGTAGTGCTATATCACATCGTCCCTTCACGTGTTGGTTATTCTTCAAAATATGCAGCTCATCATGTGACCCCTAAAATGACCTTTCCGCCTTTAATGTCCCCGTGTACCATACATTTATCCCTCAGATAACCTAACAC